CAGTCACATCAGCTGTTGAACATCTTTGAATACTTCTAATCCAAGAGGCAAATTTCACTGTTTCCAAAGGTCTCTGCTGGCCTGGCCCTATTGCCTTGTCCCCGGCCAGCTTCCCCTTCATTTGTTTTGTTTTATTTTTAAATTGGCTTTTTTTTTGAGGGGGGGGTGTCAGTCGTGGGGCTTAAACGGAAGGCCTGGGCGCTGTTCCCTCTGAGCTTCTTTTGCTCAAGGCTAGCACTCTACCACTTAAACCAAAGTGCCACCCTCTGGTTTTTCAGTGGCTTATTGGAGATAAGAGTCTCATGGACTTTCCTGCCCAGCCTGGCTTCGAACTGTGATCCTCAGATCTCAGCCTCCTGAATAGCTAGGATGACAGGCGTGAGCCACCGGTACCCGGCTCTGCTTCATCTGGGTCAGAGCTAGGACTGCCGTGTGCTGTTTGTTCTGAACATCTCCCCTCCCCGCTTACATGATCACCTGTCCAGCTGCCCCTCCACATGTGACTTTTTCCCAGGGGCCCTGTTATCTTCAGAGATCATTCAGGACTTAGGAAGTATGTGTGTAGATGCAGGAGGGTCCCCCAGTACTGGGGTCTCTGGGCCACACCTCCCGATTACAGAGCACCTTTGTGTATATTTATTTTCAGTGGGGAACATTCTGGCTGTTTCATTTCAGTAAAGGATGCTATGAGTCAGATAGAGCTTCAAACTGAGCACTGGTGCTCAGGCCTGTCATCCTAGCTCCTCAGGAGGCTGAGATCTGAGGATCACGGTTCAAAGCCAGCCCGGGCAGGAAAGTCCCTGAGACTCTCATCTCCAATGAACCACCTGAAAACCAGAAGTGGGATTGTGGCTCAAATGGTAGAGCGCCCGCCTTGAGCTGACGAGCTGAGGGACAGCGCCCAGGCCCAGAGTTCAAGCCTCAGTATATAGACCCTCACCAGCCAAGTGGTACCTCACACCTGTTAGCCTCAGCTTTTCCTGCTCAAGGCTGGCATGCTACCATTTGAGCCACAGCCTCCCCCTTCCGGCTTTGGGGTGAGCGGTTAGTTAGAGCTGAAAGTCTCTGGGTTTTGTCTGCCCACGTTGGCTTTGAACAGTGATCCTCGGATCTCAGCCTCCTGAGGAACTGGGATGTGTGGTGGACACAGCCCCCAGGGCCTGGCTCTGTCCATGTGAGGGTGGGGCCTGGACAGCCATTGCCCCTCCCCCTCCATTGCCCCTCCCCCTCCATTGCTCCTCCCCCTCCATTGCTCCTCCCCCTCCAGGCTGAGACCCTGGCTCCTCTCAGAGACTCCTTTGGGCCATGTATGGGCTTTCTCTCCACACCAAAGCAAAGTGTGCAAGCATCCGCAGCTCCCACGAGAGTGGCTAGTCCTTACACAGCTGCCCACTGCTGTAAAGTTAGAAAGGAATCTCACTTTCACTCAGTGTGTCAAACAGTAACCACAGCGTGTTTGGCAAGACCTGAGGTCCCTCTGCCGAGAAGCCTGCTGCCTTCGGTCAGGTGGAAATCCAAGGCTGCATGCCAAGGTAGGATCAAGGAAGCTGTAGGCCTCCCCCCACCCCAGATGCCACTAAACCCCCACAGCTGGGGAAGATGTACACTGCGGTTCTTTTCCGTTTCGTGCATCAACACGGGGATTCGAACTCAGGACCTCACGCTCCCATTTGGCTTTTTCATTCCAGGCTGGTGCTCTACCCTTTGAGCCACATCTCCCACTTCCTGGCTTTTTGCTTGGGGAGTAGTTGGAGAGAAAATTCTCAGGGTGTTTTTCCTGCCCAGGTTGGCGTGGAACTTTAAACCCTCAGACCTTAACCCCTCGGAATAGCTAGGATTATGAACGAACATAGCTGGCAAATGAACCCATTCAGTTACTCCTGGGGACCTGTTTGAATCGTCATGTTTATGGGTGTCAGGATAAACACACCAAAGGGGTGTCTGACACTAAAGCTATTAGGAATATGCTCAGCTGGGGACCTGTGGCTCATACCTGTCATTCTAGCTACTCAGGAGGCTGAGATATGGAGGATCGCGGTTGGAGGCCAGCCCTGGGCAGAAAAGTCCGAGAGACTTTTACCTCGATTTCAACAGAGAAAAGTAGGTAGCCTGACAGAATGTACTAGGGAGATTCAATATGGCCACCTGGTCTTCAGGTCTCCTCTTACAAAGAGGCAGGATTTATCTCTGGCCTGTGACTCTGGGCAGGCCTTGGAGGCTTGCTTCTAGTAGACAGTGGTGAAAGGGTACGTGTTTTGTTTTGTTCAATTTTACTTTTGACCTTTTAACCTTTGGTTTTCATTAGTGTGGGTAACTGGATGTATATCGGGCACGATTATAAATCATGTATATCGGTGGAGATTAGATTAGATGTATGTCCGCTGATATTATAATGAATTGGTTTATGTCTCTGTCAGGTCAAAGTCAGAAGGCAACCTTTGTATCTGTCATAAACTCCTGTCAATCCAATTTCAACTTTTAACTGGAATCAGATTTCAAATTTCAAGATCTTTCTTTCTGGAACAGATTTGCTGTCAGAAGCAAGGCTATAGAGAGGTCTGGAAACAATGTTTTCTTTGTTCCTTGTTGCTGTTTTGTGTTTCTTTTCTTATTTGTTTATCGATCTTTGGGAGGAAAAGGAGAGGACACAGAAATAGAGGGACAAAGGGTGAACAAATGCAGCAGTGATACTCACGAGCCACCACGTGGAAAATGAACTATCCATTTGTGGGTGGTGGACAGGAGGGAAAAACTGGGAGAAAGCACAGGAAAAGGTGATGGTATTCAAAAAGAAATGTCCTCTTGATCTGACTTATGTAAATGTAGCCGCTCTGTACATCACCTTTTAAATAACAATAAGAAAGGAAGAAAGAAAGAAAGAAAAGAAAGAGAGAGAGAGAAAGGGAGGGAGGAAGGAAGGAAGGAAGAAAACCAAA